AAATACTGCATAGGAACCTGGAATGTAAGATCTATGAACATTGGTCAGCTGGCTGTGGTTAAACAGAAGATGGCAAGAATAAACATTGACATCCTGGGTGTCAGTGAACTAAAGTGGACAGGAATGAGCTAATTCAGTTCAGATGATTATGATGTCTACTATTATGGGCAAGAATCCTGTAGAAGAAATGGAGTAGCGCTCATAGTCAACAAAAGAGTGGGAAAAGCTGTACTACCGATGCTCAAGAGGCTGAAATTGACCATTTCTACGAAGACTTACAACACCTTCTAGAACTGACTCCCAAGAATGATGTTCTTCTCATTCTAGAGGATTGGAATGCTAAAGTAGGGAGTCAAGAGATAAAAGGAACAACAGGGAAGTTTGGCCTTGGAGTTCAGAACGAAGCAGGCCAAAGGCTAATAAAGTTTTGTCAAGAGAACAAGCTGGTCATCACAAACACTCTTTTCCAACAACACACATTCTACACATGGAAATCACCAGATGGGCAATACCAAAATCAGATTAATTATATTCTCTGCAGCCAAAGATACAGAAACTCTATACAGTCAGCAAAAACAAGTCCTGGAGCTCATTGTGCCTCTGATCATCAGCTTCTTATAGCAAAACTCAAGCTTAAACTTGAATCCCAAAGAAAAGGAAATGCATGAAAGCAAAGTGGCTGTCCAACGAGGCCTTACAAATAGCAGAGAAGACAAGGGAAACAAAATACAAGGCAGATAGGGAGACTTGCAGAAAATTGAATGCTGACTTCCAAAGAATAGCAAGGAGAGACAAGAGGGCCTTCTTAAATGAACAGTGCAAAGATATAGAGGAAAATAATAGAAAGGAAAAACCCAGAGATCTGTTCAAGAAAATTAGAGATATTAAAGGAACCTTTTGTGCAAAGGGGGTCTTAAGTGAACAGTGCAAAGATGTAGAGGAAAATAATAGAAAGGGAAAAACATCTGTTTAAGAAAATTGGAGCTATTAAAGGAACATTTTGTGCAAAGATGGATACGATAAAGGACAAAAATGGTAGGAACCTTACAGAAGCAGAAGACATCAAGAAGAGGTGGTATGAATACACAGAGGAATTATACCAGAAAGATCTGGATGTCCTGGGCAACCCAGATAGTGTGGTTGCTGACCTTGAGGCAGACATCCTGGAGAGTGAAGTCAAGTAGGCCTTAGAAAGCATGGCTAACAACAAGGCCAGTGGAGGTGCTGGCATTCCAGTGGAACTATTTAAAATCTTAAAAGATGATGATGTTAAGCTGCTACACTCAGTATGCCAGCAAGTTTGGAAAACTCAGCAGTGGCCAGAGGATTGGAAAAGATCTGTGTACATCCCAATCCCAAAGAAGGGCAGTGCCAAAGAATGCTCCAACTACCATACAATTGCACTCATTTCACACGCTAGCAAGGCTATGCTCAAATTCCTACAAGGTAGGCTTCAGAGTATATGGACCGAGAACTCCCGGAAGTATATGCTGGATTTCGAGGGGGCAGAGGAACTAAAGACCAAATTGCTAACATGCGCTGGATTATGGAAAAAGCCAGAGAGTTCAAGAAAAACATTTACTTCTGCTTCATTGACTTTGCAAAAGCCTTTGACTGTGCGGACCACAAAAACTATGGCAAGTTCTTAAAAATATGGGAGTGCCTGACCACCTAATCTATCTCCTGAGAAATCTGTATGTGGCATAGGAAGCTAGAACTGGATATGGAACAACTGTGATTGGTTCAAAATTGGGAAAGGAGTAGGACAAGGCTGTATATTGTCTCCTTACTTATTTAACTTATATGCAGAATACATCATGCGAAAGGCTGGACTGGCGGAATCCCAAGCCAGAATTAAGATTGCCGGAAGAGATATCAACTACCTCAGATCTACAGATGATACCACTCTAATGGCAGAAAGTGAGGAGGAATTAAAGAACCTTGTAATGAGGGCGAAAGAGGAGAGTGCCAAAAATGGTCTGAAGCTCAGCATCAAAAAAACTAAGATCATGGCCACTGGCT